TGATCTTTAAGGCACTCCTTTGCAAAGAGAATAAGCTTGGGAATAAGAACCTCTTAGTTAGAATTAAACAAGAAATTAGCCTTTATTTCAGAATGCGGCCAGCCGGGACTGAGGAACGCGCTTCAGCACAGATGCTGGCATAATGATTGTAAGTGGCCCATCTTGAAACATGGACCAAGAAGTCTAACATCCATGCGAGTGTTCAGGTGTCAAACCCATGTGTGCAGTGAAAGCAAATGGAGGTGGAAGCCTGCAAGAGTGCACCATCAACCAATTCTGAAGTCTTTGAATGGATTTGAGTAAGAGTGTGGCTGTTGGGACCTGAAAGATGGTGAACTATGCCTGAATAGGGTGAAGCCAGAGGAAACTCTGATGGAGGCTTGCAGTGGTTCTGATGTGCAAATTGATCATCAAATTTGGGTATAGAGGTGAAAGACTAATCAAACCATCTGGTAGCTGGTTCCTGCTGAAGTTTCCCTCAGGATAGCAGTAACATTTTCAGTTTTATGAGGTAAAGTGAATGATTAGAGGCCTTGAGGTTGAAACAATCTTAACCTATTCTCAAACTTTAAATATGTAAGAAGCCCTTGTTACTTAAGTGAATGTGAGCATTAGAATGGATCATTACTAGTGGGCCATTTTTGGTAAGCAGAACTGGTGATGTGGGATGAACTGAACACAAGATTAAGATGCCAGAATGCATGCTCATCAGACACCACAAAAGATGTTAGTTCATCTAGACAGCCTGACAGTGGCCATGGAAGTCAGAATCCACTAAGAAGTGTGTAACAACTCACAGGCCAAATGAACTAGCCCTGAAAATGGATGGCACTCAAGTGTGCTATCCATATCTTGCCATCAGAGTAGAAATGAAGCCCTGATGAGTAAGCAGGCATGGAGGTTTGTAACAAAGTCTTGAAAGTAATTCCAGGTCAAACAGCCTCTAGTGCAGATCTTGGTGGTAGTAGCAAATACTCAAATGAGAACTTTAAGAACTGAAGTGGGGAAAGATTCCATGTGAACAGCAGTTGGACATGAGTTAGTCAATTCTAAGATATAGAGTAGTTCTGTTTGAAAGTGTGCTCTAGTGCATCATTTGTCAAAAGGGAAGCTGGTTAATATTCCAGCACCTGAATGTGGATTCTCCATGGCAACATAACTGAATGTGAAGATATTGGCAGAAGTCCTGGAAAAAGTTCTCTTTTCTTCTTGATAATCTATCATTCTGAAATCAGTTTGTCCAGAGCTAGAGTTTCATGACCAGCAGAGCTTTACATCTTTGCAGGGTCTGGTGCACTTCTGATGACTCTTGAAAATCTGCAGGAAGGAATAGTTTTCACACCAGGTCATACTCATAACTGTAGCAGGTCTCCAAGGTGAAAAGCCTCTAGTTAATAGAACAATATAGATAAGGGAAGTCAGCAAAATAGATCTGTAACTTCAGGAAAAGGATTGACTCTAAGAGTCAGGCACATTAGATCTTGGGGGAAAGTCTCTGGAGCAGGAGGGCACTAGCCAGGCAACCAGCAGATGTCTTCCAGCATCAGGGTGTAAATGCCCTTGGCAGGCTTCAGCTGTCTGGCATGTGATTAACAACCAACTTAGAACTGGTATGGACAAGGGGAATCTGACTGTCTAATTAAAACATAGCATTGTGATGGCCAGAAAGTGATATTAACACAATGTGATTTCTGCTCAGTGCTCTGAATGTTAAAGTGAAGAAATTCAACCAAGTGTGGGTAAACAGCAAAAGTAACTATGACTCTCTTAAGATAGCCAAATGCCTCATCATCTAATTAGTGATGCACATGAATGAATTAATGAGATTCCCACTGTCCCTATCTACTATCTAGCAAAACCACAGCCAAGGGAATGGGCTTGATAAAATCAGTGGGGAAAGAAGACTCTGTTGAGCTTGACTCTAGTTTGACATTGTGAAAAGACATATCAGATGTAGAATAGGTGGGAGCTTTGGTACTGGTGAAATACCACTACCTTTATTGTTTTTTTACTTATTCAATAAAGCAGAACTGAGCTTTACTGCCCAACTTCTAGCATTAAGGTTCTTTGCAGGCTGATCCAGGTTGAAGACATTATCAGATAAAGAGTTTGGCTGGAGCGGCACATCTGTTAAATCATAATATGGGTGTTCTAAGAGGGACTCATGGAGAACAGAAATCTCCAGTAGAACAAAAGAGTAAAAGTCCTCTTGATTTTGATTTTCAGTGTGAATACAAACCATGAAAGTGTGGCCTATTGATCCTTTAGTCCCTCAAAATTTGAGGCTAGAGGTGCCAGAAAAGTTACCACAGGAATAACTGGCTTGTGGCAGCCAAGTATTCATAATGATGTTGCTTTTTGATCCTTCAATGTCAGCTCTTCCTATTATACTGAAGCAGAATTTGGTAAGTGTTGGATTGTTCACTCACTAATAGGGAACATGAGCTGGATTTAGACCATCATGAGACAGGTTAGTTTTATCCTACTGATGAAGATCACCACAACAGTAATTCAATTTAGTATGAGAGGAACTGTTGATTCAGATAATTGGTTTTTGTGGCTGTCTGACCAGGCAGTGCCACAAAGCTACCATCTGCTGGATTATGGCTGAATGCCTCTAAGTCAGAATCCATACTGGAACATGGTGATGTTGCTTCACATGTTGTAGTTAGATACAAATAGACCTACAGGTTCTGAACCTCAGCAGATCAGTAATGGCTTCCAGAAAGAGACTCTCAGGCACCAGCTGACAGATTGCAATGTCACCACATGTGAGGATAGATTCTCTGCAGACAACTGAAATGATCAAGTGGGTCATGTAAGCAGTCAAGTAGCCTAGTTATTACAAGTTGCTGAGCATCAGTCCAATTCTTGACTTAATTTGTTGTAAACACTCTCCATCAATATGTTTGTCTTTGGCAATGCCAGGGACTTGGAGAAGAGTTATTTTGATAGAAATGATATTATATATATATATGCAAGAGTCTTAAGAAGTAGTTAACCAGCATATGATTGATCATACAATTTTTTACACATCTTTTGTTTTTCCCTCACTAAGTTTGACCTTGTGATGATCTTGGTATCTGAAAGAGTTCTAGAAGTTGGCCATCTGACATGACTGGAAGAAATAAAAGATGGGGCAATATGAAAAATATAGCAAGTCTTCCTGAATACATTATTTGATCAGAAAACATTTGCCTTTGAGAAATTATTCATCATATGTGTGTTGCCAGAAGATGAAGAGAAACAATGAATGGTGTTCATATTAGATGCAAGATCAGAGCATGTGTGCATGTTGTTCTGGAGAGATATATACTGTGTACCTGCTCTGGAGTCTGTGCTTAACTTCTGGAGCACAACATCTGTAGCTGCAGAGCAATGTTATTGTAACACTACAGACTATTATGCTGTGGAGTTCCTGTTTGTATTATGGTGCAAGCATTTGAGAAAAAATCAAGCTAGCAGAATGACTGGATGAAGAACATATTATCTTTTGCTACTACAATTGCAAGTGTCTGCAGGTGAAGATACAGAGATGACAGATCATACATTGGGTGGATACAGACACAATATGTAAGATTTTGTGTAACTTGTTCAGCCAGTCAGCCATTGCACACAAACACTGGTACAGCTCTGTTGGCAGAACTTTTGTGTGTAAATGTCAATAGAAAAGCTTGATAATCAGCAGTAAAGGCTTTCTTCATGTTTTAATATTTCTGTCTTGCTTGATTTTCTTCTTGCTGTAGTTTGTACATAGTTTATCTGCAAGTTAACCTTTATTTTACTGCTTGTGATCATATTTCTGGATTCATATTCAATGGCTGCCTACAAAAGATCATATATCTTTAAGAAACATTATTATTGAGGGGTATGGATTGTGTCTGGATGTCACAGCAGACTGGTCCAGGTATTGTGTGCCCAGTCCAGAGATCATTGTGCACTAGTCCAGAGATCATTGCACACTGGTCTGAAGGTCATTGCACATCTGCTCCAGAAGGCATGTGTGTCCATGTCTGGGGGGTATTGCACATCTGCTCCAGGGGAGATGTGTATCATATCTGAAGATTATTGTGTACTGGTCCAGAGGTCATCACACATCTGCTCCAGAAGAATGTGTACTGGTCCAGAAGTCATATGCCATGTCTGGAGATCACTGTACACTGGTCTGAAGTATAGGTGCAAGATATTCTTCTGACTATATTATTAAAGTCTCTATTGTTGCTTTAAATCATGTTCTTGAATGGCTCATTTTTGTCTATAGTTTCACCCAGTTTTACCAAACCTATACAAATTATATGCATCTTGAATAACTTTGTGGTGGTTCCATCAATAGATCTTCAATTCAATGTGGACAAGTGTCTGGAGAGTATATGTAGACAAGAGATGAGTTAGGTTGGCAAGCTGGTCAGATGATATATCTGATGCAGCATGTGGGCCTGACTGCCTCTGGCCAATTAACTTCTTTATGCCTTTGCACTACAGATAGCTTTCATAGCTGGCACATGCTTTCTCAGTAGTTGAGTCATCCAACTCAGGTTGCTACTTCATTAACCAAAGACATGAAATGTTTTTGCTATAAAGATTACCAAAAGTATCTGAAGCTCAAAAGATCTTTATTCTTTAGGCAAGGGAGAAGTTTACCCATTGTTGGCTGCTGGCTTGCAATTGATTAAATGTTCTTGAAGGGAGGTGAGCTTTGAGATCTATAGTTCTAGCTATGTGTTCAAGATTCTAGCTCTTCTCTTGAACAGCTCATGTTACAGATGGACACACACTTCTTCCAGAGCATAAGTCTGATTCTGCAGCAGAAGGCTGTTTAAGAAATCCAGTGGAGGTAATTAAATACTTGAAGCAGTAGTACAGTGCACTATGCTCTCTGCTCTGGATGAGCTACTTATGAGAGAGCTTCTTCTAGTTAAACTGCTTCCAGTCCAGTTTAACCAGATTCAGGCATTGCTGTGCAGGGCTTCAGCTCTGTAATGGCAGTGCAGACAGTAGTTATCTGGTTGATTCTGCCAGTAGTTATATGCTTGTCTCAAAGATTAAGCCATGCATGTCTAAGTATAAGTAATTTGTATGGTGAAACTGCAAATGGCTCATTAAATCAGTTATCATTTATTTGATAGTACCTTACTACATGAATACCCATGGTAATTCTAGAGCTAATACATGCTAAAAACCTCAACTTTGAAAGGGGTGTATTTATTAGATAAAAAATCAATGCTCTTTGGGGCTCTTTGGTGATTTATAATAACTTGTCAAATTACATGGCCTTGTGCTGGCAATGGTTCATTCAAATTTCTGCCCTATCAACTTTTGATGGTAGGATAGTGGCCTACCATGGTGGCAACAGGTAATGAAGAATTAGAGTTTGATTCTGGAGAGGGAGCCTGAGAAACAGCTACCACATTCAAGAAAGACAGCAGGTGCACAAATTACTCAATCCCAACATGGGGAGGTAGTGACAATAAATACTGATACAGGGCTCTTTCAGGTCTTGTAATTAAAATGAGTACAATCTAAATCTCTTAACAAGAAACAATTGGAGGGCAAGTCTGGTGCCAGCAGCTGCAGTAATTCCAGCTCCAATAGTGTATATTAAAGTTGTTGCAGTTAAAAAGCTTGTAGTTGAATCTTGGGTCTGGCTGGCCAGTCCACTTCACAGTGTGCACTGGTCTGGCTGAATCTTTTCTTCTGGGGAACCCTATGGCCTTCACTGACTGTAGGGGGAACCAGGACTTTTACTGTAAAAAAATTAGAGTATTTAAAGCAGGCCTTTGCTTGGATACATTAGCATGGAATAATAGAATAGGATGTGTGGTTCTATTTTGTTGGTTTCTAGAACTGCTGTAATGATTAATAGAGATAGTTGGGAGCATCAATATTTGGCTGTCAGAGGTTAAATTCTTGGATTTGCTGAAGACTAACTACTGTAAAAGCATTTGCCAAGAATGTTTTCATTAATCAGTGAACAAAAGTTAGGGGATCAAAGACAATCAGATACTATTATAGTCTTAACCATAAACTATACTAACTAGAGATTGGACAGGCAACTTTGAATAATCTGTTCAGCATCTTATGAGAAATCAAAGTTTTTGAGTTCTGGAGGGAGTATGATTGCAAGGCTGAAACTTAAAGAAATTAACAGAAGGGCACTACCAGATATGAAGTCTGCAGCTTAATTTGACTCAATACAGAGAAACTCATCAGGTCCAGACAAAATAAGAGTTGACAGATTGAGAGCTCTTTCTTGATCTTTTGAATGGTGGTGCATAGCTGTTCTTAGTTGATGGAGTGATTTATCTGCTTAATTATGATAATGAATGAGATCTTAATCTGCTAAATAGCCCAACTCATGTTTGTGAGCTGCTGGCTTCTTAGAGGGACTATTGACTTAAGCTGATGGAAGTTTGAGATAATAACAGATCTGTAATGCTCTTAGATATTCTGGGCTGCACATGTGCTACACTGACAGGGCCAGCAAGTACATCATCTTGGTCAAGAGGTCTGGATAATCTTGTTAAATCCTGTTGTGCTGGAGATAGAGCATTGCAATTATTGCTCTTCAACAAGAAATGTCTAGTAGGCACAAGTCATCAGCTTATACTAATTATGTCCCTGCTCTTTGTACATACCACCCATCACTACTACCAATTGAATAGCTCAGTGAGGCCTTCAGACTGATTCAGAGAGATTGGCAACAACCACCCAGAGCCAGAAAGTTGGTCAAACTTGATTATTTAGAGAAAGTAAAAGTCATAACAAGGTTTCTGTAGGTGAATCTGTGGAAGAATCATTAAAGTGGTGTCTGGCTGTACACCTCCCCCACAGGGGTTCACATGGTCTGTACCTCTCACTCATGTTTACTGAATTATTGTTGTCTTGGCAGGCCTGCTAGATCTCTGGCTGCTGGAGATTGCCTGCCTTGTGTGGTGTTCCAGGCACATGCCTGCCAGCAGATTAATTAAACTCTTATGTAAAGATTGTTAGTCTGAGCATTATAGCAAAAATCAAACAAAACTTTTAATAACAGATCTCTTGGTTCCAGCATTAATGAAGAATGCAGCAAAATGCAATAAGTAATGTGAATTACAGAATTTCATGAATTATCAAATCTTTAAAATTTAACATACAAGTGCCGGCCTTCCAATTTTGAACAGGGGGGCAGGGGCAGGGATTCTTCTAGTCAAAGTTAGCCAGATCAACATCTTTATTGACTTTATGCTAATTGCTCTTCTTCAGGGCCCATTCTTTCAATGCAGCCTTGTGCCACTTCTCTCCAGCTGTATGAAATGGACATGCATGGGGAAAACTAACATCTTGTCAGTAAATAATGTGCGCCAGAGCAGTATTCTGCAAGCACTCACCTCTTAATGTGACCCATTTTGTCACAGTATATGTTTGTTGTACACACAGATGTTGAAGTGCAGTAAATAAAAAGATGATGAAGAGGGAGAGGGGAGAGGAATTGTTAATGTTAGTCCTGAAGAGAAAGAAGAAGAAGAGAAAGAGGAAGAGAAGAGAAGAGAGACTGACCTGATGTTATTATTCTGTAGCCAGCATAGCAACAACACATTGATCTTGCCCATAGCAACATGCCTGTAGAATGTAAACAATGTGTATAGTAACCATTCTACAGTACTTGGTCAATACACTCTATAATTTCATTATTCTGTAGCCAGCATAGCAACAATGTGTTGAGCTTGCCTATAGCAATGTGCCTGTAGAATGTAAATAATGTGTATAGTAACCATCCTATGCAAGTACTTGATCAATATACTCTATAATCTCATTATTCTGTAGCCAGCAATTCAACTCATCACATACAATTGTGAAGATGGGGCCAAAACAATATTCAATGAGAGAGAAGACCCATGCAGCACAGGAGCACTGCCAGGCCTTGAAAGACCATTAAAAAGATATATTCAAGACAGGAGAGACAGATTGCAAGGCACACCATGACATGCTGAAGAGAATCTGAGCAAAACATAAGTGATATGTACTCTCAGTAGTTTGCATTAAATCATATTGACATCCATTACAGGCAGAATAGCAGTGAGAAGGATTGCAAGATGATTGAAGATAAAGCCATTGAAGAGTTGATGGCCAAGTGATTTGCCAAGAGCAAGTTAAAGAAGTACCATGAGCACCAGCTCATGGTCTCTCAGCAAAAGAAGAGGGAGGAAGAGAAGAAGCATTGCTGAGAAGAGGCCACAGAGGCTGAGAATGAAGCTTGGCAGAAAAAGAAGATAGGATTCAAAAGTAATAAAATTTGGTAACAGTTCTGACATATTTAGGTCAAAACAAGCCAGGTGCAGCATCCTATTGCTGCATGTAGAGAGGCCTGATTCTGCCAAATGATAGCCAGGCTTGAGGCCAAGATCATGGCCCATGATCATGATTGTCTTGCTGCAGTTGGTGTGTCAAGAGAGGGGGTTGAGAAGGAGATGAGGGGATTCCTGGGCCAATTACAGAGTTCAAGTGAAGACAACAACAGTTCACCTGCCCCAGAGAAGATGAAGGAAGATGATTTTGAGATTGTGGTGTCCTCTGATGAGAATGATGAGGAGGACAATAAGACAGAGGATGATTGAATTATTAATGTCTAGAAGAGGAAGTTAGGTTTTTAGTTCTTTTTTCATATTAATTTGAGAATGGGGTGCCATTAAATTGGCAAAATGTTTTATTTTCCTGAAGAAGAATGTTCTATTTTGTAGAAGAAGAAGATTTTGTAGTTGGTTGCTGTACTTACAGAGTAAAATGAGGCTAACTATCTAGAGATTGTCAAATTTTGTGTGGGCTCTGACCACATTTTGTTACTTTTTTGACTAAGGCAGAACTTAGAGAAAAATCAATTTAATTGTGAAAAAAAAAAAAAAAAAGAAAAATCTAATGGCTGAAGCCAGCAAACAAGCAAAATCTACAGAGATTTCTTCAGAATTGACCATAGTTCAACATGGAAAAAAACAATTTGTATTGTGGAAGGAGCTGCATTATAAGTTGTTTGTTACTTGGTGGTTAACTACTGAAGCTGCTCAGTTGATTAATAATAAGAAGCATGATGACCCCAACTGAAAGGCAAAGCAATACCATTCTGATTTTTGATCAAAATTTGATCAGGTGACAGAGCATTCTAAGAACACTCCAGAGGTGATTTGCAAGCATTGCCAAACCTTTCTCAGCCATTCAAGCTTTTCTTGAAACAGTACAAGTGGTCTGAAGAAGCATTTAATGAGCAAAGATTGTACAAAAACTGGTGACAGACAGGGTAACACTCTGGTTAACATGATGGTAGATCATGAATTCTAATTTCCCAAATGTAATGAATTTTAGTAATGGTTCTGGTGTCTTAGCAACAGTTTCTGAAGTGTCCTTGAACAGATTCAGATCTGCCTGTTCCTGAATGCAATTGAGACAATTTCCTCCAGCAGCTTGTGCAAACATTAATATTCTTGAATCTCTCATTTTGTGCTATTGAGAATCCAGCATTCCACACATTAATAACCATGCTCAACCCTGCAATAGCTTTACAGATACCCACACAAGAAACATTATATCAGGTCATGAATGATATGTACAATCAGCTATTCTGAAATCTTCTCTTTGACCATGACCCAACAATCAAGGTATCTCTGGCAGTAGATAATTGGACAAGTCTCAATAATCTTGCCTTTATGGCAATTAATGATTATTACATTACAAAGAATTGGGAGTACTGTGAGCATTTACTGGATTTTGAAAGTTTAGAGGGTGCTTATACTGGCAAGAATATAGCAGAGATTTTCCAACAATCACTAGCAGCATAGAGGCTTGAGAGCAATCTTCTTGCAATTACAAGTGATAATGTGTCAAACAATGGTACCATGCAAGCACATCTTACACATCAGTTAAGGCCAGCATTGCAGCAGTTGAACAAGACAACTAATTGGAATGCAGAGAGTGGGACAATACTCTGTCTTGCTCATGTAATTCAACTTGTGGTTTGAGAGCTGGTTTGCAATCTCAAGATTCAGCCAGACAATGATACTCTACCTACTACCTTTGATGAGAGCTCAATTACTGATGATCTAGCATCAACAGACACATTTGCAAATACTCTTAGAAAGATAATGAAATTTGGTAATGATCTTGATATACTTGAGTTGATTTACTAATCTTTGCTTGACAATAGATTTGTCTTGTTGCCAATGCAACCAATATCTCCCCCTAACTTGCTGCATGTTTTCAAGAATATCAACAAGAGAACCAGTGCAAGATGATTCAAGATGTTCACACAAGATGGAATTCCATCTATAAGATGTGTGTTTGTGTCTTGTTGCTTTGACAAGCTGTGGACTCATGGATCCAGGACTCATCACCAAAATACCAAAGACTTTACTTATTGGACCATGACTGGAAGCAGCTAGAGTATATAATTGGACTGTTGCAGCCATTCAGTTGATTTACCAAGATACTGTCCAAAACAACAGGCCCAACAATTCATCTGGTATGGGCAATGTACAATCATCTTTTCCAGCATTTAGAAAGAGAGGAGGACAAGGTCCAACAGTTAACAACAAGAGAGAACATTCAAGAAGCTATTAAAGCTGCCAACTTGAAATTCCAGAAATATTATAGTGATACTGAGCATCCAAAGAGTGAGCTGCTAGCTGTAGCTGCTGCTCTTCATTCATCATACTGCATGAGAGCATATGATTCAGAGAATTGGACCAGTGATGAGTGTGAAATATACTGACAATATATTTTAAGATTTTACAAAAAGCATTATGAGAAATATGAACAGCCAAGAGAAGTAATACTTGATGTGAATAATGTATGTTTGTTATAAGTATTATTCTGATTTCTTCTCTGCTAACTTCTCTAGAATATTGAGCAAATGATTTTTGAGAGACCCCATCAAAGATGAGCAAATTTCCAAAATGAAATGGAGTGATATTTAAATAACAAGAATTTGACATCACCTCAAGCTCCAATTCTGGAACAGTGGAGGATGCTAGAGCCTGATTTTCTAACTGTTGCTTGAATGGCAAGAGACATTCTGGCTATATCTTTGACAGAGGTTGGGGTAGAATGGGTTTTCAATGTTGCTCAGAATACATGTCATTATTGATGATTGTGGCTCCATGCATCTACAATCAAGAAGATCATGCTGCTTAAACATGGTGATAAGATGCATATGCTGGATGAAGCACTCATATTGCATGAGGAGTTGGCCAAGGAAGTCATCCAAGATAATCAAGATGATCAAGATACTCCAGAGATTGTACAGGAAGAGATTGCAAGCCTGCTAAATCCACTACTCAATCCAGATGAGGAACAGAAAATATGTCAATGTTATCAATAGATAGACTCAAGTAGCTAATAACTTGCAATATGATCTAATTATGCAAAGAGCATTACCAAATTTTGGTACTTTTCCAAAGTTGAATAAATTGATAAAATTATGTTAGGACTGTTACCAAATTTTGTTACTTTTTGACAACACAAATGGAATCAGGGTTCCTGGTCCCATCCTACACTTTACTGGTCCTGTCCCATATACAATATTGAAATTCTGGTCCTATTCCATTTTGTCATGTCAGGTCCCGGGCCCATCCTACTAGCTAGATTTTGATTCTGGTCCCAATTCCATCCCAATTCCAGTTCCCACAGAACTGTCCCAATATGCTGTTAAACAATCTGGTCCCATCCCATTAAGCTGAGCTTCAACCTGATCCCGTCCTTGGGACAGGAATTGGGACAGGAATCTGGGACTGGGATGGGAAATCCTGGAACCGGATACCACTCTAAATATAACTT